TGGTGCAGCTGCCCTCTCTGCTGCTTGGCTGTCCCACAGGGGATTTGGGACCCAGAGTTCAGTGGTCTGTGTCCAGGCCAGCGCTCTCCATGTTCAGTGGTCCCTGTTTTGCCAGCAGTGGCTGTCACACTTTTATCCTCACTGGCTCCTCAGATCATGGGCCCTGTAGCTCTAGCCACATCCTGCCACCTGGCTCCAGGCACCGGCCATGGGAGGCACAGCCCTCCAAACTTTTCTGTCTCCTGTTTTCCCTGGCTATGTGGCACAGCGTGCGCCAGGCTCAGCTGGCTACAGGTTGTGCCCATGGGCTTGGTGGCAATGGCTGTACCCACGCTGGGTCTTCTGCCCCAGGTTCCCTTCACTTCTCCACCCGCTCAGCACCAGCTGCTGAGGCTTCATGACCACAGTACCGCAGGCCAGGCCTGACCATCATGGACGGGGGCTGCACACTGGCTTCTCCGAGCACTGACACTGTCTGGAGCTGGTGGTGGCTATGCTGCTCACATGGGGGAGAGATATAATATTTACAAACTCTAAACATCTCTGTCTTTAGCCGGGCGGTGGTGGCACACGCCTTTAATCCCAGCACTCGGGAGGCAGAGGTAGGTGGATCTCTGGGAGTTCGAGGCCAGCCTGGTCTACAAGAGCTAGTTCCAGGACAGGAACTAAAGAAAGCTATGGAGAAACCTGTCTAAAAAAAAAAAAAAAAAAAAAAAAAAACCTCTGTCTTTGCTTTTGCTCCACCTCAGCTCCTCTACCTATCAAATACACTAAAGAAAATGTGCAGAGAGTTGGACACTATTTTCTAGTCCCAGATCTACAGTTAGATACAATGTTTCTCCCATAGTTCATCCTCTATCTTTCTTCCTTTATTATCTATCATTGTTGATTTCTGAGAGCTCAGTTTTCACCTCTGTGCCTGCAGGGTAATATTCATTTGACGGGGTCCTTTACGTTTTCCCCTGTATCAATGGCCACCCCTCTGTGCATTACCTGTTGTGCATCCTAAGCCCCACGTTGGGCGCCATCTGTTGTAGCCACAGCTTACATCTGTGCTCCACACTGGAGATCCCATGTTGGCTCCATCTGTTGTAGCCACAGCTCACATCTGTGCTCCACACTGGAAGATCCCATGTTGGCTCCATCTGTTGTAGCCACAGCTCACATCTGTGCTCCACACTGGAAGATCCCATGTTGGCTCCATCTGTTGTAGCCACAGGCTCACATCTGTGCTCCACACTGGAAGATCCCATATTCTCACTGAGAGCTTGGGTGTCTCTGTCTGTGTCAGTCACTGTGGTCATTTGAGTGAGATGACCCCATATCATGGCCATTTGAATATGGAGTTTCTAGTTGGTGCTGTTTGGGGGGCTGGAGGGATATGTGACAATAAGAAATAAGACACCACACAGCTGTAACTGCTACTTTTCAGTACATAGCATCCCATGAGACAATAGGAAAGACTGACATCAAACAAATTAATAACAACCATTGTCACCCTTAAGGATTATGTACTGTGCATAATTACATGTGCTATACTTAAAAGACTGCTTTGATTTATTGTATGTGTATGAATGTTTTGTCTGCATGAAGGTGTGGTATATATACATGCAGTGCCCTTAGGGGCCAGAGAGCACTGGATCCCTCTGGGGATTAGTGTTAGAAATAGTTGTGAGCCTACACCAGGGTTCAATAGATTGAAGCCAGATCCTAGGGAAGAGCAGTCAGGATTCTAATCTCTGAGCCATCTCTCCAGTCTCCTATATGTGATATACTTTTTGTTTTGTATTGTTATGTTTTTAGAGACAGGTTTTTCTGTGTAACCCTGACTGTCCTAGAATTTACTCTGTAGACCAGGCTGTCATGAACCCATAGAGATCGCCTGCCTCTGCCTCTAGAGTGCTGGGATTAGAGACACGGGTCACCACTGCCCAGCTATATTTTATACTTTTATCTCATTTTTATACTTACTTCCTTTTACTATACTGACGAAAAATCCGGGGTCTCATCCACTTTCAGTAAGTCTCCCTGAGCCATATCCTCATTCCTGTGCTATATATGTGTGTGTGTGTGTGCACATGTATGCATATGTATGTGTGTGTGAAAGTGTGTGATGTATGTGTGTGTCTATTGGGAACTCAGGTTCCTGGAGAGTGATCCTAGTGCCCTGAGCCCACCAGCTAAGCATTTAGCTACTGAGCTATAGTCCCATCCCTTTTTGTAAAGTTTTTAATTTTTTTTTTTTTTTTAGTTTTTCGAGACAGGGTTTCTCTGTGGTTTTGGAGCCTGTCCTGGAACTAGCTCTGTAGACCAGACTGGCCTCGAACTCACAGAGATCCGCCTGCCTCTGCCTCCCGAGTGCTGGGATTAAAGGCGTGCGCCACCACCACCCAGCTATATTTTTGTTTTATATGTATGATTGTTTTACCAGCATT